TTTTTTTCCAGAGAAGAAAGGTTCTTTCCTAGTGTGACCAACTTGGTAAGTTGCACCAATCAGCTAATATATGAAAGAGCAGTCTCAGCATATGAAAGGTATCAAGGTACAAGGTGGAAAAGAGTATGATGGAAGAGGCTGAGTTGTGGAGGCCTGGCCACCCCAGCCCTATTTCATGTGCTGACCCACTTTTCTTACGTGAGCCGGATGGCCCAGATTGAAAGCTCAGGGGCTTTTTGGCCCTGCCATTTGACTTAGGCTGTTGACTTGACTGAAATTCGTATTGGTTTTAATTTGAGAGCTTCTGTTTCCTACCAAGTCCCACAGACTTCAAACTCCCATCTCACTCTGCAGGGGTGTCCACGGGCCGCATGCTGCCCAGGATGGCTATGAATGCAGCCCAACACAAAACATAAATTTACTTAAAACTTTTTTTTTTTTTTTTTTTTGTTCATCAGTTTTCATTAGCGTTTGTATATTTAATGCGTGGCCCAAGACAGTTCTTCTTCCCATGTAGCCCAGAGACGCCAAAAGGTTGGGCATTCCTACTACAGCATCACTTGCTTTATTCTCATTTTATATATCTGGACTGAGGAAGGGCTGGATTTCACACCTAATTAAAAAAGACTGTATTGCCTGCTGTTTCCTTTCTTGTTCATTTTCCCTTGTGCAGAGGCAGCTTTTTATTCTCATGCTAAGTCCTATCCCAGATACCCACAGCCTAAGGGACAGAAAACAGCTGGGTTCCCACAAAACAGAGAGCCAGACCCTCTGTCACCTATTTCACCACAAGCAGGTTTTCCTTCTGACACCCACTCCTGTTTCAGCCCTGTCCATATTGTGTTCACTCAAGGAACACAATCACTCAGAATACATGATCATTTTCAGTACTAGAATTCCTTGCATGTTTCCAGTGAATGCCACCACAGGCTGGCTGGCTCTGTATTTTTACTCTAGTAAAAAGGAGATAGGTTAGTATTTTAAAACACACAGAGAGCCATTTTAATCACTTTTTTCACTTTGCCATCAGTTCTGTGTTCCTACCACTTATGGGGGTTATTAGGTGGGGTGGCATTCCCAAATACACATCATCTTTGTAAAGTTGTACAGTTTTACAGAGTGAGAATTTTTTTCCTTGTTTTTTTGAATAGCCCAAATGCCTATTCAGTGCCAATCTTGGAAGAAAGGAGTCAGCATTTTCACACCATTCCTTCCTCGGCAGTCCCTGAATAACCACCTAATCAAGATTTGTTTTCAATGGGGCACAAATCTTCTACAGCAGAGTACTTCAGACTTATGTCGTTGGAATCTATACATTAATGCCCATTTGGATGAAAAGGACATCTTTCACAAAAGCCTGGACATTGCCTTGCTGTGGCAGAAACTTTTTCCCACTGTATCAGTGTTAAAAAAATAATAATAATAAAAGAAAGCCTGGGAAAGGAATTGCTTCAGCATTGTGTGCTGGAAGGACGAGGTGCTCTTGAATGGAGAGCAGGGTCCCCATTGCATCTGTAGCCACATCAGCGGGACTGCATCAGCCTTTCCTGGTGCTCACTGCTGTGCAGGACCAGTGCACCAGGGAGGTATTTAAAAGGGTATCTGTAGAAACTGAATAGGCTTGTCGGGTGAGGTTGTATATGTGTGCAGGTTTGAGTTTGTCTCTGTTGGTTTTCAATGAGCATGGTAGCCCCATTACTGTAATGATCATAATTCAGAAAGCTTAGCAGATATTTGTGTGTGGGAATACCCCTATAGGAGTTACCTGATTGTTTAGATAGACTCAGCCGCTTCTGTCAAACAAGCAGTATAAATTGTCCTCATGAGATTGTGTGTGTGTGTGTGTGTATGAATGTGTGTGACATAATGACAGTTTTTGCTGTTAACCATTTCTATGTCTAAAGCACCCTCCTTCATCACTTTCAGTGTCTTTTTTTTTTTCTTTTATGTCCTGAGAACTATGACGGCCCTAGATCTCTGAGCAATCCAAGTTTCATTCCTCAGCATTCCAATGTTACGCAGTGAAAAAAGCATCAAGAGGCATGGATTCTAATCCCAACACAGCAACTCACTAGCTGTGTAAAACTTTGGGCAAATTAGACACTTTGAGAGCCTCAAATTCATCTTTTATCAAATAGTAATAGTAGGACCTGTCCTAAGAGCATATATGATTGTTGTAAATAGTAAATGAGATGCTACATTTGAAACAGTTTTGTATACTCTGAAAACTACATGGATATTAATTATCATGATAATGTGATAGAGCTTCTTCCCAAAACTATCTGAAGAGGACAAGTGTTCATCATATAGAACATCTCTAGAGATATACCTGTGACTGTTACTGTGAGCAACTGTGTATTTAAAGAGTGTTTTCACCTGTATGGGAAAAAAAATAGTTTTCATATGGCAATGGGTCAGACTGTCCACAGCCTCCATCTCACTGACTGTAGCCTTCCTACTGGGAGCTGTTTGACACTTCCTTCAGAGATTTGATTTTATCAGAGAATCAACTAGTTTTAGTGATTATGATTTTATTTAAATGAAGGAGACCTTGGTGATACTAACACTGTATTGTATATAGAAAACTCTACATTTTAATACCAGGACAAGTTGTTTTATAAATATTGTTTGATTTATAAACCTAAAAAATATGTTCCTTATTAGCTGCCTGAGGCTATGTTGAAGTCCCTAGACCAAGAAAGACAAAGACCATGCTAACCGATGGATATATATAGAAGTAGCAGGAGGGCATGCAAGAGAAACCTTTTCACGGAGATTTACAGCGGACCCATGGACATCTAAGGGCCAAACTTCATTCAGGGGCAAAGCATACAAAAATAGTGAAGTGGATAAGAGTATGAACTCTAGAACCAGACTGCCTGGGTTCAAATGCCAGCTCAACCACCAAGTGCCCATGTGGCCTTGAGCAAATATCTTAAATTCTCTGGCCTAAGTTTCCTCATCTGAAAAATGGGGATAATAATTCTAGCTACATCATAGGGTTGTTCTGAGAATTAAATGAAATAATATAATAAAGTAGTTAGACCAGTTCTAACAGTAGTTAGGATCTGACACATGGTAAGCTCAAAAAAAAAAGAAAAAGAAAAGAAAAAAGAAAAAAGAAAGCTTTCTCTTGTTATTATTATGGTACAAAGGCATGGGGGACTTTTACAAAGGCAAGTTCAAGAAAGAACTTGGAACTTGGTCCGCTGACTTCTTTCCTGAATATTCCTTCCTGGGTTATTAGAGCCTTCCTCTGGGGTCATATTTTGTATTAACACAGTTATAGAGGATTCACCCTGATTCTTTAATCTAGCAAAGACAATTTGTTTTACATGAGTGAAAAAAAATAGAAACAATAGCCTAATGAACTATTTTAGGCAAGGAACAGACCCAATGGAAGTTGAAAGAAGAAGGAATTCTCTTATGTAAAAATTTATGCAAATCATATTACTGAAAGTGAACAAAGAGCCTGTAGGCATTTCTTAAGTTAAGTGGATATATGTGAGGCTGACTAAGTATAAAAATGGGAACAAAAGAAATGAATGACTTCATTTATATAAAAAGATGTGGTCACACTGGCAAGATAGGACAACATGAGGGGTCTGAGTGAAGCAAGGTAGGAATTCCAGCTGTGGGCAGAATTCCCTGAGCAGGCCCTCTCTCCCGAGGCAGAGGAGAAGGAACCTGAGGAGCTCTCTGCAGGCCATTACCTCTGGGATTACTTCCCAGACAAGACACAGGGACCTGGGTCACAGGCCTGCAGTCAGTAGTACTTTGGCTGATGGTTCCGTCGTGAAGGCAAAACGGGGGATCTGACTGAAGAGTGGTTTGGAGACAGGGATTCTTAGGGTCATTTGAAAGATGAGGTAGAAAAAGAAGAAAGCCCTGAGACTGTTGCACTCCTGTTTTCTTTCTCAATCTGCGACCTGAATGTTGCTGACATTATCCCTGGTCTTCCCAGTCCAGAGCATAGAGACAGCAGTGGATCAGGATGTCCACAGCCTCTACATAACTAACCATTGCCTTCCTACTGGGAGCTGTTTGATACTTCCCTCTAGCAAGTACATAGAGCACCCAGTTACCCAGGGTGTTCATACATCCCACTCCTGGTTCACCCTTGCTGTCCTGACCTAATTATTTACAGTGTTCCTTTCATTCCCAAAGTGCCCAGCTTGAACGGTAAATATGATCATCTAATGTCCTCCAAGCTCCCAGATCAGTGCTGCCTTCATTAAACCCCAGAAAATTCAGAAAACCACCACATTGCATACAGCCACCCTAGAAAGTTCTTCAGTTGTCAGGGATGACAAGAATGCTATCTCTAGAATATTCTGTAGATACCCCTTTAGCTGGCAGATTGTATTCCATAAACTGTCCCTCAATTGGAAAATAAGGTAGCAGCTGTCTGGTGAACATCTTAGTCTGGGTTGAATTTTCCAAGAATTTTTGTATACGTGGTGGTGGATTTGGGAAATATGCCACATGAATTAATAGGAAGGGGATTTTTTTTTACTATGAATATTGTTTCAGCGCATGTATGAAATAAGAAACTTTGTTAAGCCAGGGGAAATAAAAGCTTTCCCAAAGGACTTGGGCTTAGGCCTGTCCAACATAGAGGTAGAGATGAAAACAAGCCTCCATTTGCCTTTCAGTTCTTAGTTTGCTGAAGTCGTAGGAGTGGCAGACAAATGGCCCATCTGTTTATCAGGCTACTCCAGCCAACAACCCTGGCTGAAGCTCTAGGGGATTAGTATGGATTCAATACCCCTAAATAGCTGGGACACTGTTGGGACACAATTCAAGGTCTTGTTTCCATAAGACACGCTCCCCGCAGCTTGAACTCTGTGCACACCTGTCCATCTCCTCCCGAGCCCTCTTATGTCTTCAATGGGCTGCTTCTAGGAGCCCTGAGCATTATTTACCTGAGACCCAGGTGTTAGGAGTGCAGTCAGCTAGCTCTGACCCATGCTCTGTTTTGTGTCTGCCTTGGCATGCAGGTGACATCAGTTGCAAGGGGATGACCGAGCGCATTCACAGCATCAACCTTCACAACTTCAGCAATTCCGTGCTCGAGACCCTCAACGAGCAGCGCAACCGTGGCCACTTCTGTGACGTGACGGTGCGCATCCACGGGAGCATGCTGCGCGCACACCGCTGCGTGCTGGCTGCCGGCAGCCCCTTCTTCCAGGACAAGCTGCTGCTGGGCTACAGCGACATCGAGATCCCGTCCGTGGTGTCGGTGCAATCGGTGCAAAAGCTCATTGACTTCATGTACAGTGGCGTGCTGCGTGTCTCACAGTCGGAAGCGCTTCAGATCCTCACGGCCGCCAGCATCCTGCAGATCAAAACAGTCATCGATGAGTGCACGCGTATCGTGTCACAGAATGTGGGCGATGTGTTCCCGGGGATCCAGGACTCAGGCCAGGACACGCCACGGGGCACTCCTGAGTCAGGCACATCGGGCCAGAGCAGTGACACCGAGTCGGGTTACCTGCAGAGCCACCCACAGCACAGCGTGGACAGGATCTACTCCGCACTGTACGCGTGCTCCATGCAGAACGGCAGCGGCGAGCGCTCCTTCTACAGCGGTGCGGTGGTCAGCCACCACGAGACTGCGCTCGGCCTGCCCCGCGACCACCACATGGAAGACCCCAGCTGGATCACGCGCATCCATGAGCGCTCACAGCAGATGGAGCGCTACCTGTCCACCACCCCCGAGACCACACACTGCCGCAAGCAGCCCCGGCCTGTGCGCATCCAGACCCTGGTGGGTAATATCCACATCAAGCAGGAGATGGAGGATGATTACGACTACTATGGCCAGCAAAGGGTGCAGATCCTAGAGCGCAATGAATCCGAGGAGTGCACAGAAGACACCGACCAGGCCGAGGGCACCGAGAGTGAGCCCAAAGGCGAAAGCTTTGACTCGGGTGTCAGCTCCTCCATAGGCACCGAGCCCGACTCCGTGGAGCAGCAGTTCGGGCCTGGGACGGTTCGGGATGGCCAGGCTGAACCCACCCAACCTGAGCAGGCTACGGAAGCCCCTGCAGAGGGTGGCCCACAGCCCCACCAGCCAGAGACAGGTGCCTCCTCTCCAGAAAGAAGCAACGAGGTGGAGATGGACAGCACAGTCATCACTGTCAGCAACAGCTCCGATAAGAGTGTCCTGCAGCAGCCTTCAGTCAACACATCCATTGGGCAGCCATTGCCAAGTACCCAGCTCTACTTACGCCAGACAGAAACCCTCACCAGCAACTTGAGGATGCCTCTGACCTTGACCAGCAACACACAGGTCATTGGCACAGCCGGCAACACCTACCTGCCAGCCCTCTTCACTACCCAGCCTGCGGGCAGCGGCCCCAAGCCTTTCCTCTTCAGCCTGCCACAACCCCTGGCAGGTCAGCAGACCCAGTTTGTGACAGTGTCCCAGCCCGGCCTGTCGACCTTTACTGCACAGCTGCCAGCGCCACAGCCCCTGGCCCCATCTGCAGGCCACAGCACAGCCAGTGGGCAGGGCGAAAAAAAGCCTTATGAGTGCACTCTCTGCAACAAGACTTTCACCGCCAAACAGAACTACGTCAAGCACATGTTTGTACACACAGGTGAGTGCAGGTCCCCTGGAGGTCTGGCAGCAGGGATGGATGTGAGGGGGCTGTGGGAAGGGGGAGGCAGGGCGCTAGGTAGAAGGGAAGGTTTGAAGTCATTTTTCAGATGCTAAGAAAACCCCACTGCAAGCCATCTTTTAGAAGCCCCAACTGCGCCCCCATCATAGGAGCAAAGCGCCCTGGACCAAAGACAAAATCACAGAAACACTTTATGGAGAAAGGCCAAAGGGGAAAAAAGCCTGATAAAGAATTTGCAGGCACAGCATCCCTTAAACACGCTGAACTTTATAATGCATTCTTTGATCCGAGGTGTTCAGAACTGGAAACGTCCTTGGAGATCATATACTCCAGTCACCTCAGTTTACAGACTGAAGTCAGTCATTAGGCAGAGCAAAGGTGAGGATTTTAGTCTGTAGTAAGTTCTGTGTGAACCAGTAGCTTGAAGAGGCACAGTAAGGCTGGCGCAAGCTTAAGCTGCATTTGTGGTCCCTGAAATGAGGAGTAACAGGCTCACTATTTTCCATTCTCCATTTTCAACATCTAGAGGCCACAATCTGTTTTGGATACTACCTTTTAAAAGGACAATAGACTAAGTGGGACACAGTCAAAGAAGTGTGATTAGGATGATGAAGGGGTACAAAGCCATGGCATATGAATCATGGTGGAAGGTCCCGGGATGTTCAGAGTGCACGAAAGAAGACTCAGGGCATCATATAAGCCATACTCAAGTGTTCCAGCTTCGAGAGCAGCATAATGTAGTAGCTAAGCTGGAGCTCTGGAGTCAGATTGTTTGGGTTTGAATTTACATTGGCGACGGCTGAACTTTATCATCCAGGGAAAAAGTACTTAACCTTTCTATACTTCCATTTCCTTGTCAACATAATGACGATAATAGTGCTAGATCTTTCATATAGTGCTGTTTTGAGGATTAAATGAATTTATATACATGAAGTTCTTAACACAATTCCTAGCACATAAGCACTCTATAAATGATAGCTATTATTAGTGCTTTTTAACATTATTTAAATGGTTGGGAGGAAAGAGAGAATAAGCTTGTTTTGTTTGGGTTGTTTGGGTCCAAAAGTTAGAACTGGACCAATGACTGGAAGCAGTAAGGAAATCATTTAAACTAAATAAAATGATTGTTGACAGTCAGAGCTGCTCTAAGATGGGACAGACAGCCTCCAAAGGGAGTGAGTTCCTGTAATTAGAGGTGTTCAGGGACAGAATGATCATTTCCTAAGGATGTTTCAGGAGGGATTCAAGGAAATTTTCCATGTGGTATGGATATCATCATTATTTGGTCAATTAAGCAAATAGAAATATTTTTATTTATGTGGCAATTTATGATTTACAGAGTGTCCCTACATAGTTTATGTTCTTTCCTCCTCTAACTAGCTGTCTTAGAAACCATCAAATTAAGGATTAAGGGAAAAAAGAAACCACTTGTGGAAGTGTCTTCTTAGCCAAAGTTGACTTTGCTGGTCTTGAATAAACATTTCTATTGTCTCCTTGTGTGTAACTCTCCCAGCAGACCTAGCAGATATAAAATCCACACATTCTTGTAGATCACATATTGAAATAAGACTTTAAATTTGCAACATAAAATTTTCAGTGTACTACTAAAATTTGCCTTTTTAGTGCATACACACATTTATCCAAAGGATTCACCAGAGGATTCTGTGGTTAACCCAAATAACTAGATTTGCCCATAAGAAAACCAGCTATGGGTTTGTACATTTATGCATCACAGATACAAAAGCTACAAGTAAAATCATTTTATAAATTTAAGTAATGCTTAAAATGTAGCCTTGAGCTATGTAGTAAACTATGAGGGTCCTCAGTAAATTGTGAAGGTGTCTGTATTGGTGTGCATAACGTAGACACATCTGAGAACAATTAATAATGTACATATATCAGTCCTAGCACCTCATTTAAAAGAAACAACACTCTTCTCTTTCACCCAAGAATTTTTTGGCAATGTCAGTTTAGAAGGGCCATCTGTCTATCAAGACTTTGTCTGACTGAAAGAGTCCATAACCTTACACAGTTTAACAATAGCCAGTCTAGATTTTCAAAAGCAAGGCAACAGCCTTATCATCTGGAAGTAATGCAGGACCTGGAGTCACTGTGGCGCACATTTCTAAACAAAGTTTCCTCCAACTTCTTGGGAAAACATCAAAAAAGTGGGGCCTCCCAACTTTACAGGAGCCCAGTGGAGATGATAAAAATTTAGAGCAAAGAGTCCAAATGCTGGTCTAAAAAGTACTCTAGAAAGTACTGGGGATACTTGGAAGAGTAGGGGTGGATTCATAATTGTTACCTGTAGTCTAAGCAAAAAAGAATCCCACCAATAGAGTATTAACAGGGCTGAAAGGATAGAAAGTTGGGTCATTGGCATCACAGCTACTCTTTATAGTAACTGGCGTTTCAGTAGCTCCTGGGTTTAATGTAAATGACATTTGCTCTCAACAACTGCAGGAAATCAATTTTGAAATTGAATTCCAAGTAAAATTTTGTATAGGTGTCCTTTAATGAATGACGTAGTCATTGAAAAGGAAGTCTTTGAGACAAATAAGTAGTCTGTCGTATTGACTTTGGAACAAAGCTCTACCTTAGAGAACCAAGAAAGCCCTGGTAGTAAAATATATTCCAAAATGATTATAATACTAAAACTTAGAATGAGGACATAAGAGAGACATGACTGTACTAGAATTAAATTATTTGGGTTGAGTTTGGTTCCTCTAATTGTGGTCTTATACAAGTCACTTAATTTCATAACCCTCAGTTTCTTTGAGTTGAAAATGGAAATAATAATTTGCCTGCCTTTTGAGTAGCTGTAAAGGTACGGTGCATGTGAGAGCTTTTCATAAAAGGTGAAGTACTACTTAATGTTTAAAAAAATTATCATCATTATTATGTTAGCCCCCTCCTCCTAGGAGACAATGAATTTCTTTGCTCTATATCCAATCTGTGAGTAATAAGCTCTCAATGTGTTTCCTTCCTCTGTGGAAGTCAAATACTGAAGCAACGTGGTACTCCTTGGGTTTCCCTTGAACTTCTGTCATAAAAGGGAAATTTTTCTTTTTGATCCCTTAAGGATTTTTTTAAGAGAAAAAGAAAATCTCTCACCGAATTGCTTTCTTCTACCAGACCGGCAATAGTAGGACTTCACCTCATCTAGGAGTTTCTCGAGTTCACTCTACTGCAGCTTTATAAAATTTGTGAGGAAGTAAACCAAGAATTAGGAAATATTGGGAAAAAAAGAGAATCATAGAAAAAACAAAGATAACGCAAATCATCCTGTCATGGAACAAAGGAGGACTCCTCTGTGCTTTCTCCCAAGAGAAAAAAACAAAACGCAATGTGTAATCTAATGAACAAACTTAACCAACAAGCAAAATACAGACAGACTCATCGATAGACAGCAGGCTGACGGCTGGAGGGGGGTTGGTTAAGAGGTAGGGGAACTAAGCAGAAAGGAAAGGGACTCTTGGATGTAGACAACAGTGTGGTGATTGCTAGGGGAGGGGCTATAAGGGAGATAAATGGTAATGGAAAAATACAATAAAAAATTTTTAAAGAGTCAAGGGAACAGGAATAGAAGGAAAAGACAAGACACAGAAAGGTAAGCCTTTGTGTCAGCGTGGATGTGGAAGGCAAGTAATAGGGAAAATTCAAAGATAACTTTGGAGCACTGATTCTGGAAGTGTGATTCCAATACCAGCAGCATGCAAATTCTCAGGTCCAACCCAGACCCGAATCAGAACATCTGGGGATAGAACCCAGCAATCTGTGCTTTAAACAAGCCCCGATTCACAAGCTGAGGATCGCTTGCTTTTGTACGTGGCCTGGGGGATTAGGAGGAGAATGGCACCAGGTTGCTTTTGTTACATAACATTGTTCTGTAAAATTCCACTCGTAAGAATCTATGTGTTTGGAAAAAGTAAACCAGAGTTATGGATAACAGCTTGATTTTATTATGGAAACAGATATCTTTCATACAAAAGGTGAGCTAAGTCTCTCAAACTGAAGGGCAAATGTTCCCCTTCAGGCCCTTAACAGGCAGGCTTGTACTGTCATTCTGTGGATGTCTTTATACTGTCCCATTAGGATGTGAACTCTGTGCAAGCCAAAACAACTTTATATATAATTATATATCTATAAAAGATACATAAATGTATGTATCTCATACTTCAAATATACCCAGCATAATACTTTATAGACACTAAATATTCAATAAATATTGATCAATGAATGAATCAAATTCTTCTGTGATGATGTCTAATCACGTCCAAAAGGAAAAGGGGTCTATTTCCAGAGTGATTTACTTACTGTGTCATGTAGCTCCATAGAAATAATGCAAAAATACCTTGCACATTTTTTAAGATTTTATTTATTTATTTTTAGAGAGGGGAAGGGAGGGAGAAAGAGAGGGAGAGAAACATCAATGTGTAGTTACCTCTCTCATGCCCCCCACCCCCAGACTGGGGACCTGGCTCTCAACTCAGGCACGTGCCCTAGACGGGGGATCGAACTGGCAACCCTTTGGTCCACAGGCCGGCACTCAATCCACTGAGCCACACCAGCCAGAGTGCTTTGCACATTTATATATTAAGTGCTTTCTCCAAGTATGTGATCATGTTCCAAATACCATGTTCTGTTTGTTCTTACTTTGCTCTATATAACAAAATTGCACACATAACAATAAGACTGATCAAGATGATATCCAGGATATTTATTCACCACCAGGTATAGGATTATTAAACTTAGCAAACAGAAATACAGAATACCCAATTAAATTTGAATTTTGGATGAACAATAAATATTTTTTAGTCTCAGTATGTCTCATGTAATATTTGTGACATACTTGTACTAAAAAACCATTATTTATCAGAAATTCAGATTTTAGTGGGTATCATGTATTTTATCTGGCAATGCTATATCTACGTGGAACTTTCCTTTTTTACACTTTATTTTTTGTGTGTAGAGCATTT